GTCAGAGGGGGTACGGGCAACATTTGAACAATGGTTAAGGGTTCATCACAGTGTCCAGCCTGTTGGAGCCCTGGTCACAAATGCGGTCATACTTTTCCCGGGACGACTGGTGGAAACCGTCCCCACAAAGTTTATGAACACTTCAATAATTCCCTTAAGTCCGTTAAAAGACTACAATAAAATCTGAGAGTCATGAGAAGCTGAGGCTTATTCACAACAGGAAAAATACAAAACCCTGATGCTGCAAGCATGGCTAAAACCCATCTGAGAAGAAACAATGTAGTATCCCATCCAGTATATCTTCTATTCATAGTAATTTCAAGCTAGTTCCTAGGTGTCTGGTTACCCCTTAAAACTTCATGTTTTCCCCGGTTGTTAATCAGTTTCTTGAGATGTTCCAAACCAGATAACTCTTTGGCACTGAAAAAGGTAATTCATTTAAATTTAAACTGTTTATATAACAGGATTTTCCCTGTCAGTTATGGCTTGGGACCCTCTTGATTTACACAATTAAAAGAATGCTTTGAAGAGGCTGGACTAAGGGTATCAGAAAGCTGCAAAAGCAGCAACCAGTGAGCTTTGAGAGAGAAATCTCCCTCGCACCATCCGCTGTTGTTTTTGAGAAGCTGGGAGAAACAGATCCTCTTCCGTCGTCTGTTTAACCTTCAATGATCGTGCTAAAAACTTTACCTGTCAGCAAACAACCCGAATGCATTGGACTGGTGAGATCCAGCTCTTGTTCCCTCTCTCTCTCTCTCTCTCTCTCTCTCTCTCTCTAGGCATATTTTTCTGAATCTGTTTTGTATTAGTTAAGCGTGAGCTAGGTTTCCCCAAATACTCGATGAAACTAGGGTAATATAATCGTTCTGTTTGTTTTCCCTGCAAGGCTATTACTACTAGTACCATCAGACATTTCATATACTTAGCAATAAATAACTTTTATGGTCAAATTGGTGGTAAACGGGTGTATTTTTCCTTCTCTGCTTTCCTTCCCCACTTGCTCTGCAGCAACGCTTCTTTTACCCAAGCCAAAGATCCCAGTGAAGCCCAAAAATGCTGTGGGGTCCGTTCATCAAGAGGCAACCACTACTAAGACAGTAAGGGCAAAAGATTGGGACGTGCTGAGTTTGAGGCACGTAAGGGGATCTGCTTGTACAGACTGATTGACCCAGTCTGGCTCAGATGTGCCCTAATGAACTGAACGCTGGCCCATAAGGGTGTCAGCTGGACACCCAGCCTTATTCAGAGGTATTCTGTTCACCTGTGCGCTTGTGTCTGACTGCATTTTACTGTTACCTTAATGCACTGATTCCTGGCATATGTGGGGGTCAGCCTGTCCACGCTGATCAACCCGGCCAGGTCAGGCGTGTCACATTAATCTCTGTGTGTATTTGACTGATTTGGTGGCTGGAGGAACCAGCCCCATTGAAACCGAGTCCTGCAAGATAGCTTCATCGGGAGTGAAGACTTGCAGAAGGGAGAGATACAGGTCCGTACAGAAACACAAGCAGCACATTGACAGAATTACAAAGACCCTAGAAACGTACCCCTAATAAATGAGCGCACCCCAAAGTGATGGGCAAATCTGGTAACACCAGCTGCAGCCCATCACATCAGGGGCAGGACGTGTGGCAGGCAGGGGCGTACTGGGCTCCCCCAGGCTCCCTACAGCACCCCTGGAAGTAGAGGATGTCCCTGCCAGGCCCTGGGGGCAGGCTCCATGACAAAAGGACAGTGACTACCATAGGATGGTGGCACGAGGTGGGTCTGGCCTGGGGCAAAGCCGGGTCATTCCTGGCACGGGGCCCTGCTGTACCTGTGAGATTCCCAGAGGGGCAGGGTGCACGTGGCTCCTGCACACTCAGGCAGCTGGGGCTTGACCAGTGGCAAAAACAGGGGAGCTCCCCCTGGGCTCTCCAGAGGTGACATTCCAGACCACAGACCCCTCTAGAAGCCTTCACAGGCAGGCTGAACGCCATCCCCGGCCTCCCTGCCCATGGAAGTGCCCCCCATGCTACCTGGAAGGCCATGGGTCCAGACGGCTCCGGGACCAGCCTGCGGAGCCCCTCAGCGCCCAGCTGGTTGTCTGAGAGGTCGAGGAGGGTTAGGTGGGGCAGGGTGCCCAGTGTGGCCAGCAGCTCACCAGCCATGCAATCATTCAAGACGTTCCCGGAGAGCCTCAGCTGCCGCAGCGGGGTCTGCAGCTTGAGGGCGCGCAGCAGTGGGGTGAGCTGGGTCTGGCGCAGCGCAAACCCGCAGGCACCCAGCGAGGGGCCCTGCTCCTGCTGCCCCAGGACCTTCACTAGCAGCGGGTGCTCCCCTGCAGGGGGGGAGATGCATCAGGCCTGGTTCTGCCGAGCCCGGTGCCAGGGGCCTGCTAGCTGCTGGCCTTCAACCCACCTCCCCAAGGGTTGGCCAGAACAGCACCTAGAGCCCCCATGTCCCCCTCACACTGCCAGGCTGCAGCCCATTACAAACTGAGCAGGGTTCATGGCATGGGAAGGGCCCGCTATGCCTCCCAGCCCCTCCCTGCAGGCTCTGGAGTCTCCCAGGAAAACCCTCGCCCTCCTACAGCTCCCAGACCGGCCCGGCTGCAACTCTTACCCACGTCCAGGCTCTGACAGGCCTTCTGGTACCGGTCCAGGAGTGGGGGAAGGTCCCAGGATTGCACCTCCGCAAACACCTGCGAGAGGAGACACCATTGGCGCAGGAGCTGCAACCAGATCCACGCAGCACAGGGTGGCTGGGACGAGAGACAGGAGAGAAGACCTAGCCCAGCCAGAGCAAGGAAAGGAACCCAGGAGTCCGGCTGCCCTGGCCTTGGCCCCATGACGCGAGGCCCAAACTTCATGGCAGGAGGCGCCAATGAACCTGGGCAACATCCCAGGTAGGGTCTGGCTCCAGCAGGCCCCTGCCCACACCACGGAGCTGCCCTGCACCACCTCACCTCCTCGTTGCTCTGCAGAACATCCATGATGAGGTCCTGGGGGGCCAGCAGAGCCCCCTCCTTCTTCAGGGTGAGCCGCGGCAGTAGCCCGCATGTCTGGTAGTAGCGCTCCGCCGCCTGCCCCACCAGCCACGACACTGAGCGGCTCTCGCTGCCGCTGGGAGGGGGATGAGGAGAGTCACTGCAGGGACTGTGCCACGGATCCCAGGCACCACAGCCCAGCCAGCCCTTCCACCACCAGCACCCATGGGACACAGGGCAGGGCCGGAGCCAGGAGGCAACTGTGGTCCCTTCAGGCTGGTACAACTCAACTCAGCCTCTCTTGGAAACACAATTGCGGGTGTCTGCCCCCACAAGGGGATGCCTGGCCTCCCAGCTGGCCAAAGCCACCAAGTCATTTAAGTAATTTGGGCTGGTTTGGACAGGGCTGGTCCTGCTCAGGCAGGGTTTGGACTTAACGCAACCTCTGGAGCTCCCTGCCAGCCCCACGGCGCCAGGCTGTATGCCAGTGGGAAGAGGATGCTCAGGAAGAGAGGAAACATGATGAGAAAGGTCTTCCTGGCAGGGGGCATTTGTGCCTCTGGGGCTCTGGGAAAACATCCAAGCCTGGAAACTCAGCGATGGAAACCACCTCTGAACGGCAGCAGCCATAGTTTCAGTTTCATAGCTGGTTGGGCCAGAAGGGACCTGAGCAGATCATCAAGTCCAACCTCCTGCCATGGCAGGAAAGAGTACTGGGGTCAAACGACCCCAGCAAGGTGCACATCTAGCCTCCTCTTAAAGACCCCCAGGGTAGGAGCCAGCACCACTTC